AATTTTGTGAAAACGCAGCTAATACAAGCTGTTTTTTATTTTTATCACATTTCCGGAGAAAATAATAAAAATAAAATAAAACAATTTAAGATTTAAAATAAAAAGTAATAAAATAGTAAACATTCAGATTTTAAAAATAAAATAATTCAGATTTATGCATTTCAAAGTGCGCATCAGCAACACGGTCGCTCTGTGACAACACGGTCATCAGTTGTAATATATTTTCACGATAATAATCATTACACGGAAAGAATAATTTTTTTGAAATATTTCAAAATTTTTAAATATATTTGAACGATAATAATCATTACACGGAAAGAATAATTTTTTTGAAATATTTAAAAATTTAGGTAGATACAGATTTGAAAATAACTTTCATTCGAACCATCAAAACAATTATGTAGAACACCCAAACTAGTTGCTAGAGTGCTAAAATTTTTTACAGCATTCCTCGTCATATTTGAGATTCCTACGTATTTTAATGGCCCAAACAAAATTATTTCCGTATCCAACTAAATTTTTTGCATTTCAGCAAAACCATTCTTTACGTATAATAATGTATTATAGTTATTACTATTGAAATATTTTTATATAACTGGTGACTGTGTTGTTATGTAATTGCCGATATATTGTTGTCATTTTTTAAATACTTAAATCTAAATACTTTATTTTATTACTTATTTTAAATCTAAATGTTTCATTTTATTTTTATTATTTCTTCTGGAAATAATAAAAATAAAAAAACAGCTTACGTCAGCTGCGTTTTCATTAAATTGTGGCAATTTCTCATTCACCTGCTGCTTCAGCTGTTCATATCTCTTCCCGCTTTCCCGTCTCTTATTGTAAAAAAAGTAGTTCAGCTTACGCGAGAAAAAGAATCGATCGCCGCACAGTATGTATAAACAGTGAAACTGTCATATTTTCTCGCATGCATTGCAGTGTATCGCATATTATTTTATGTTAACGATTCTTCGTGCACTGATAAAAGAGTCTGCAGGTAATAGCTATTACCAAATTTTAAGAAATAGTGCCAATCAATATTCGATTAATATAATTCTATTTTCCTAAATATTTTTTTTTTTTTAGTAGGTATTACCAAATATAATAATATAACCAACATTTAATAAATATTGGAAAAAATAAAATTTAGTTTTTATTACATTAATCGGACATTTGACTGGTATTATTTCACCCAATATTTGGTAGTTATTACCAGATTTTTTTTCAGTTAATTTCGCGCAAAAGCATCAGGAAGGTCAACCGATCGGCAGGAGAGAGCATCGTGCAAAACGCTATACGCAAATTTTATGTCACGTCCGTTCCGGAAATCGAGGAAACAGAGCATAGCAAGTAAATGCTACGAATATAAAGAGAGAAAGAGTAAGAAAGAAGAAGACAGAGAGAGAAAGATTGGATTACAAAGAGATTCGTCTTTTCTAGCACAAATTCCCCGACGAAACGACATCGTTTCCCCTACTTTCTCAAGTATCGCAGTATCGTTGGAGCGCTACGAGCGTTATGGCAATGGAAACGATTCGACTTGAATTTCCTGTAAGAGCATGCTTATCGCTTAAAGTACGTCGCATCGATCAATGTACGTTGAATACGTGCGTGCGGTGTACTTATCTAGCAGTGATGTTCAATGGATTTTCTCCTCGTTACTGCTCGGTAAGAAATTTCTTTCACAATTTTTTAAGCATTTACCCATGAAAAGTTATTGCGATTCACAAAAAAAACCACAATTTCTTAAGTTGTATAAATTATAAAAATAATTAGTCGCGCTTTAAGAATGTTCTTCATTTTAAATATTTTACCACTCTAAAGATTACTTAAAAATTAATTGAAAATTAAGTCTCTGTAGCGCTTTCAGTCTTTTAAAAAATCTTCAACTCTAATGAGAGTTAATAAGAGAGATAATAGCGTCTTCTTTCAGTTGATCATATTAAAGTTGAATAACCAGGAAAATGTTTGAATGAATAATATTCGCAGACGCAATAGAAATGAGAGAAAAAAAAAAGAATATGTATAATAGAAGATATACAGCGGTTACCAAACATTTCTGGCAATATATAATTTTACGATAATTTTTATCAATTTATTTTTTACTTTATATTATAAATAAAATTCTTATTACAATCAATTTAAAAATACTGATATTTTAAATACTGGAATATATTAAAAGCACATGCCTAATTATCAATTAATTTTTAAGCAATTTTTAAAGTGGTAAAAACGTTCAAAACAAAGAACGTTTCTTAAAATGTATTAAAAATATTTGTATAATAGATCTTTATTAAAGATTATTTTTATCTTTAGTAAAGATTATTTATCCAAACAATACAATAAAATTACTCATTGGTCGAAAGCTTTTAGCAGCCACTGTACATATTAGTTCACTGTCAACTTTTGTCAAACAACACTAGCGATTTAAACATTTTTAGTGAATTCAATATCACTTACATTAACGTCTAGCTGGCCCTCCACTAAACCAAATCTTAATGAATAAATTATATAATAATGCGTTATTTATGCGCTTTTAAAATCCGCGAAAAAAATTTTTGCGTTCATTTCGTTTAGCTAAAAAAAAATTTCTTGTGGAGGGGCTGAGTAAGCTATCAGCCAGTCCCTCTCCCTCCCCTCCACGTGTTAATAACAACCGATTTGGAAAATTAAATACACAGGATTTATGCGCTATTTATGCGCTTTCATATTCATTTCATTTCACTTAAGTCTCTTAAGGCTTGCAGGGCAAAAAATCAAAATTGCTTGGAAAAAGTAACGTATAAATCGAATATATTTTGTATAGTTAGATTATTTTGTATAGCATAATTTTGCAATTTTAAATAACTTGGGGATAAATATGACTATTTGCTCTAAAAGGAAAGTGACTTAAGAAATGCAGCGCAAAAATTGAAACTATGTGAATATGAAAGTGCATAAATAGCACATAAATCCTGTGTATTTGATTTTCCAAATCGGTTCTTATTAACACGTGGGAGGGGGCTGACTGACAGTTTACTCAGCCCCCCATAAAAAAATTTTTGTCTAGCTAAAATAAGCGCAAAAAATTTTTTAGCGGATTTTGAGAGCGCATAAATAGCGCAATATTATATAATTTATGCATTAAGATTTGGTTAAGTGAGGGAGAGGGGGAGGGGCCAGCTAAGCAAACACCTAGCTCTTATATTACACTGAACTAGTGCATACTAAGAGTTGCTATATATAAAATTAGCAAAGTTAAATGCATATAAAAGCATATAAATATTTTAAATAATTAAATGGTCAATAATGATATTATCGTTATTTAATAGAATATACATATATTATTTCATTATTAAAATTGATATTATGCCATATTTAGATACTTTAGGTACAAAGCAGCCTTTGTAATATGCACCAATCCAGTGTAGTTCGAATTCATCATTTGATTAATTATTGAATTAAGTGAAATTACGTTGTACTCACAGGGATTTTGCAGCACCTGCCGGTAGACACGAAGCGCCGCGGTTCTCTGGTCGACGTAGTCCCACAATCCGTCACAGGCGATTATGAGAAAATCCTCGGTGCCGTTCAGAGGTACGCATCGAACCTCGGGCTCGCTGCTGACGTACGGTTTATACGGGACATCGCCTGGAAAAAAAAGAAAATGAAAGAGCGCTATTAGAAGGCACGCGTTCGCGGAGGCTTACACTAGGCGCGAACGCGAAAAGCGGAAAGGAATGTTCAGCTCCGAAAGTATGAGATTAAGATTGAAGCGGAGGCAACTGTTACGGTTTACCCATTGGTAAAGTCCGTAATTCAGATATTTTACACGTGAAAAACACGCCACGCGGCGCGCAATTAAGTATAATTAACTGTTTAATGAATAGCGCGGCTAATTTAAATAACGACGCCACTGCAACAACGCCGCGCTTCCGGTTATTATGAATCTGAACGCCGTTTTTTTCTTCCATACTATATTCTCGAAACCGCGCCGGAGCTTGGTGTGTACACACACATGAGAAAATATATTTGCATCACGCAACTGAATTATCTCACTCCCCATAATACAAATTAATTTTTACAATTTCGTAATGAATCCTCCGAAGCTTTTATGTTTAGGACCTGTTGCGTTAACGTTATTGCGTTAATTAATTTCAGTTAATTAAATTCTCTATGCTAACGACGGCGAGTCATTAAACCAGGCTTATACAATCGCTTGATACAATCGGATTTTATACGACGTAATTTGATGAGGAATAGAGCAACGCAAATGTTCACGTAAATAAAAAAATGTCGCAGTAAAAATCTTTTACAGATCGTGCATGGTCATCTCTGGAGCACGTCGGGAGATCAAACGCCGATAAACATTCGATAGATCGCGGCTCGCTAGCCCTATACGCGTCTAAAGACAAGCAAGAATGAGAGAAACAGTCTTAATTATTCCGAACATGCGGTTGTGCGAGCCACACTCGGTAGAGCGCTCCCGGAGCGTAACTGCACGTAGTATTGTGTCAGCGGGCGAACGGAACTAACAGGATACCCAATACGCGGCTAGAATTTTTCTTTCCTCCTCTTTCCTTCTTCACCATTACAGGTGCCTTGAGCCATAGTTGGGCACGGGCTCACCTGGCCATCCGTTCCTTACTTGGCTACACTGCATATTGCCGCATTGAGAAATTTGTCATTGCGCCGCAAGCGAAATTTTTTTTTTTTTTTTAAGATCAAATATGAAAAGATAGAGTATTAAATTATTATTTTTAAATTATTCCGTTAAACATGTATTATTTAAATGTATAATTCATAAAACATTCTATTTAAGATTATATTAAAACATAAAAGAAGAATAATATAATGGAATATATTATTTTTTTTATATTTAGGAATTTTTTTTTAAATTAAATTTTTTTATTTAATTTAATTATTTATTAAAAATATTATGTAACACTTTGCTATAGTATTTAAAAAAAAAAGACTCCAAGGGAGTCCTTCGTGGTCCTGTGGATCCGTCAGTGAGATCTCGGCCAGTGACATTACGACTTTGTTTCGAAATTCTACGACGGATTATTTGCGACCAAAATACCGAAAGCTCGATGTCGAATGATTTTAATTCTCCAACACGAAAAAATCTCGTATCGATTATGTCAATCCGAAAGTAGCATTTCCAACAAAAACGGATTACTTCCGTCTGCCGTGGTAATTCGAATCCGTCGAAAATAATGTCGATCTCAAGATTAGTTGCAAATCACGTTTTCGACTACGTGCGTAGAATAAAGAATTCACAGACCATGAAAAGCGAAAAAGTAATTTCCTTACAATTGCCTAAGAAAATGAAGATAAATAACATTTCCGTACGAAGCGCTCAAGGTGCAACCGTGATTTTATATATTTTTACAGAAATGAGGCATGATAAATTTCAAATTTGAGAAGATTAGTTTTTAGCTTTTATTTTTATCCAGTTGATAACTAACTAAAAATAACATAATGTCAATTTATTATAATTTATTATAATTTCGCATTTACACGGAAAGAATGATTTTAAAAAGTATTTAAAAATTTAACTAAATATATAGATAAAAAAATAATTTTGTTAGACTATCAAAATTGTTATGTAGAACGTTCAAATTGATTGCTAAAATACCAAAACATTTTGCAGTATTGCTTATCATGTTCGAATTTCCTATATAATTATTTTTAAGTTCAACAATATTATTTTCAGATTTGTACTTATCTAAACTTTTAGATATTTCAATAAAACTCTTTCTGTGTAACAATATAAATGTAATGTAACATAGTGTTACATAACAGTGATATTGTTGAGTGCGAAATTGTAACATTGATGTTACGTTTAGTGATGTTGACTAAATTAATTTTTAGAAAAATTAATTAGATTGTGGTGAAACATTAATCTGCAATGCAATCTTACGAAGAAAATTTTTATAAATTCTATAAAGTTATATGAAACTCTGAGATTGATTTCTTACTTCGCGTTTCATACATATAGAATTCTTAACGACGTATGAGCATCGTTTACTACACTATATCATGATCGACCACACTGTCTCCATCTATACTTTCATATCGTACTGAGTCTTTTTCATATCATGGTGAAGGTCGACTGATAAATTCAATAGAAGTTTTATCAAAAAATATTCTAACCCTTTTAAAAAGAAGCGACCTCAAACTAACTTAATCATTGATTAATTCAATCAGCAAAACTATGAGAGTTCTAGCTATAATTCTAAGTTCGTCTAAGTTTTTTCTCATGTTAAACAATAAAAAATTTATAATAATTAATAGAACTGTCTTGTATCAATTAACAAAGTACCGTAGAAATTATTTAACGAATTAAGCGTCAATTAAGTTAATCGAAGTTTAATCCAAGTCATTCTTATCCTAGCAGAATCTAAAGTTATCATAACAAAAGGAGATAAACATAATTCTAAAATAATTATTAAAAGTTACTTTACGATCCGATTACTTTAAGATTCAGTTTAACGTTAAAATGATGTTATCATGATCTAATATTGATGATAATTTTGCTTAGGTATGTCTATTTCTATGTCGATTAACTTTAATCTTGGTTCAACTTATAATCTTTATCTTTTTCTAGTTCTAAAATCTAAAAATTAAAAAAAAATAAAGAATAGGTTAAACAAAGAAAGTTAATTTATATATTGATAAAAACAAGTATTAAATATTTTTGGCGTTTAATTATCTAACAGTAATTAATTATATTATCTAGCATAGCAAGCCTATCTGCGAATTTTTTACGGTGTCGGTTTGCAGCCAAAAATATAAAATCATATTTTCTATTCTATGTAAACGAAATAAAGAAATTCACATTATGCGAAAGATTTTACTTATTTTTGAAAATGGTCTTCTGAAAATGAGTCTCCTTAAAAAAGATTGTACTTTTATATCTTTGTAATAAAAACCTACATATTACAATCACTTACCAATGGCTCGAGATATGCTGAGGAATCCGTTTACTCGCAATGCACCCATACAATGGGTGACGACTCCTCCCAAATTGCGAATCCGTTCGTCCTCATCCTGAAAGAAAAAGATCGTAACATATAGTAAATAGGACACATCACAGCCAGCTTGGATAGAGTTTGCACGTGGCAACGTCAATAAAAGCGAGTCGAGCATAACATTCATGTGATAACGTATAGATGTCAAACGTGTCGATATTTCGATACTCTCGCTTGGATTACCTTTTGGATTCACATTTCATGCGTTTCGATTGTTCATAATACAAAGCATTCTGAACGTCCATGACAATATAAAATTACTGGTTTAAAAATAAAATCTTCTCTCTCTATCTCTTTCCCTTTATAAACATGACTGTCATTGGAACGCAGACCGACAGCGACAAAAGATTACTGAGTTTTCAAAATTATGAAGAATATTTAGACTCTCTGGTGACGCCTGTAGATATCTCCTACCTCAAAAGCAAAAAAACCGCGCGCCAGTTGGCCGAGCTCGGATACCGCTGCATCGGCGAGACTTTGAACGAGGAGAACTTTTATCGTCGCTTACGAATCGTGAGAGATCTAGTATTTCCCGTTCACCGGTATTACGAACTCACTTCGGAATTTGTGTCACCAGTCGGTACGTTAATGAAGGAACTTGCCCTGCGCGAGCGAGCCAACAGATTAAGGATTCTATCGACCATCATATTCGTTCGAAGCTTCAAAACAAAATTACAGTTCGAAGAATCAGCTTATATTGATTTTTATGATCGGCTCAAGTCGGAAGATTGGTTACCATATTTCCAAGGAGAGAAAAAATTGTCGCCACTCAAGCGAGATCTCACATACTATCATTGGAGAATAGGGAAGACGTGTTTGAATGAGACCTGTAATTACGTACCGATTATAGATTGCAAACGTGGACTGTTGTTTAAAAATATTCACGACAGACAGGTGATTACGGTCGATCCGACTGCCGCATCACCTGGTGTACAGACGACGCGAGTTCGGATACGCTGCCCATTTTATGAGCACGTAATATTGTACGATCATGTGGTTCGAAGCAAAATTACATATGACAATTAGAGATGTCAATATTCAACAATTAGAGATGTCAATTTTATTATTAATTAAATTTTTAAATGATTTAAAATTAATCTCCATAATTTTTATCTTCCAAGGAAAGAAAATATAATAACGGAAGATTTAATAAAAGTTAAAAATATAGTCTCAAATAAGCTTAAAAAATTATTAGACTGGTGAACTATTGATTTAATCGAGGGGCTAAATGAGTTTCGTATCAAGAATTATTAACGTTTGGCTATAAATATGAATTGGAGTTCATCGCAAGATTAAGATTTTTTTTAAGAAAACAACTAAATACGCGATTTAAACAGAATTCCGTCAAAAATATAAGATTATCTTATATTTCGAATTCTATTCTAATAAAAGAAGTAGAAAATTCAGGTTACTTACTTTTCTCGCTGGTCGATGAGGATTGACCAATTGTTTCACGTGTCCGTTTGTAACCAACGAAGCCATGGAGTCACCAACCCAAGCAATGTACAATTTCTTATTTATCAGCAATGCGCAAACCGCGGTGGTTCCGCCACTTAATTTCTGTAACGAAATGACGAATCAATAAAGTTATCGGTAGCGAATTATGCAAAATAAAATATAGCATTTTACGTAAGAAACATTTACCTGCACACTCGACTTCGCTATGAATTGTGCATCGGTCGTCAGGAAAGCATCGCGCAACGCACGTTCCGGATCAGTTGGATAGTGCACACTCTCGACCAAATATTGATGCAAATGTGTTGCGCAATATGCCGCGGCGTCTTGTCCACCGTGGCCATCGAATACAGCGTAGTAATCCACGATAGTGTCATCCTGCAAAGTATAAATTAACGTATCAGCTCATATATTATTATTAATACGTCAATAATGTCAGATGGAACTAATTTTGAATATAATCACTAATAAATTTTAACGCGTAAACGTAAATCAATATTATTTATTACTTATTATTTCAGCATTATATATTATTATGATTGCAAACAATTAGCGAGATCTTTACCTGAATATTAAATATGGTATTTAAGTCGTGCAAGATCATGTGGCGGTCTTCCATTTTTCTTCTAGCATTTCTGATGGCACCCACTGTCACTTGCGGCGTTGATGAAGGCGGTGGCAAGAGGGCTAGCCTGCTGTTATCTGAATACCGCTTGCAGATCTCGTTTACTGTGTTTGTGATGGCATGCATGAGCTTCAAAGGCGCGTACGCTGCGAAAAAATTCATCGAATAATTTATATATAGAATATAAATAAAATCATTGATAAATAAAAAACTCTCTGAAAATGCATTTATATTTGAAATAAATGATTCATGCAACGATTAAAATAATAATTTATATGGAATTATAATAAAGAAATTATTATTTTAATCGTTTATAAATTATTATTTTGATCGTTGCGCATGAGCCATTTATTTCGAATATAAATATATTTTCAAAAATCTTTGATTTATCAGAAATTATTATTTTCATTAATTAATCGCGATTAAAGTCTCACTACGAATGCTTTGAAGCATTTAAATGACCAATCGGAAGAAAGAATTTTACTAATTAGCCAATCAAAGAACGCTTCAAAGCATTTATAGCATCCGTTGATTGTACGTTAAAATTATAATATTTGGAAATTAGAGATGCTTACATCATTTTTTAAATAAGCAGTTTGTATTTCGTTTTTTTGCGAATATTTATTAAGGTGCTACGAAATTATGAAAAAAAACTTACTCTTTTGTTGCTGTCTTAGCCCGCAGATTTCCGGCTGTGCCTTGCATGTTATCTTGATCGCTTGTATTGCGAGATATGAAATATAGGATTGTAAGCTTGGTGGACAATATCTGAAACCAAACGCATGGCTTTTATCATATTTCTTACTTCCGAGAAATATTTACAAGGCGATATCAATTTCAAAAATACAGACTCTTCTCTCGACCAGTTTTTAATTTTTTTAATAAAATAAAATATGAAGATATTAATAATTTCTAGCGATAGTTTTGTAACTGCAGTTGTAATTTATATCCAATACTAAAACTTTATATATATATGCTTTGATCACTTGAAGTCAATTTCTTTTTTTAAAAAATATGGAGATGTTTTTAGTGACAGTTTTATAATAGTTACAATTAATATCTTATGAATAATTAAGTACATAAAACATTCGCAATTAAGCCTTCTAAACGAGAAAGAAAGAAAAAGCATTTTTTTCTACACTTACAAAATTAAGAAAATATTATTTTAATAAGTTAATATAAATATATACCTTAATCTTTATTCTTTAATAAAAAAATCTATCCTTTTCTCATTGTATTATTTACACTTTTCGTACTAAAAATAAAATAAATAAATACTCAGAATGTTTTTTACAAAAGAAAAAGAGAAAAAAGTTACATACACGTAAGGAAATATATACATAGAGTGCAAAAAGAAACGAGCTTAAATATTTTGGTTATCTCTCGTTTATCGTGTATCGTGTGCATAGTGTTTTTCCTTTCCGTCTGGTTCGTGATAACGATGGGCGGCGATAGTCTTGTAACTCTCGTGAGTTTCAGTTAAAATAAATAAACGCAACGGCAGTGCGGAAGTAACTTTCATCTCGCGACGATTCGGTTATTTCGCGCCTTCAAAGAACTCGCGATTCGAGAGGGCAAATTTCTTATATAATCCTACATACATTTCCTGCTCGCGTGAGGCACCGAGCAACTATGCGTAACTTTTTTGCGTGTCGATTTTTTTCCACGATGCACACAATATTCTCGCGTCTTTGAAACAGCTCGAGTATCTTTGTGCTATAGATGCAATATAAAAATCGCGTTTATTGAGAATTACAAGAGAAAATATTTCGTAACTTTCCCGGCTTTCTTCTTGTATAAAAAAAATAGACCATTGCAATAGTGTTTTCATAATATATATGTATATAAGGTGTCTCGAAAATACTTACTTTAATACTTCGGTTTATTAGATTCGTAAGAGGTCTTTAAGTTTACAATTTTACTAATGCAATGGTTAATGAACTTGTGTTTATTTTTTTATTTTTCGAAAAACAACAAATTATATATGAGATAAACAAGAAAATCCATAAATTTAAAATATTAATTTTAATTTTAATACGCGAAAATTTGTTGAAAATGAAACAAATATAATTTAAAAATGTGACGACATCAAAACTAAATAAACCATCGTTAAATAATTTTCATAGAAACCTAATTTGGAGGTTTGGACTATGTCAAAAGAAGTGAAAAATTAAAAGATTTAAAATTAGCGCATTTTTTGTTTTTTCATATGTGTATTATATAAATAGATCGTTTGATTTTCTTATTTTTAATATTGCATCTGTACGTCGCAATTTTAGTTCTAGAAAGTATCATAAAATAGTGCAAAATTAGTTAGATAATTACAAATAATATTTAGTAAAAGCAACTCTCTCGGGCAACACACACACACACACACACACACACACACACACACACACACACACACACACACACACACACACACACACACA